GAAGGAGCAGAGTGGTGGAGAGATGGCCATGGTCTGGGCTGACAGAGGAGGGGTGGGGGTGGGGAGCAGACACCTCAGGTGGCCAGTGCACAGGGGAGGAGGGTGGGCGGGGTGGACCCTAGGGTGTGGTGGTCCCAGGTGCCTCAAGCCCCAGGTGCACACTCACAGCACTGAGCATCTCTCAGGCAGGCCACCCAGACTCAGTTCCAGGGTGACTTCCTGGGGAGAGCTGATGTGGGGACACATTTCTCTTACCCCTGGGCAGCCTGGCCCTTCTCAGGACAGCAACCCCCCAACCGCTGTGGGGGGGCTGCTACACACCCAGGAAAGAGGACCTCTGACAGGCCTGGAGCCCCCCACTGGCAGTGAGGGCCCCTACCTGGCCGTGGACTCCCTGTGCTCATGGTCACAGCCCCTGCTGGGTGTCTGCCTGCAGCATGGTTGTCCCCTCCCTTCCCTTCTCTGTGCCCTGGGCTGCACCTCAGCAGGGTGAGGAGGACACAGGTCCTGTCCCAGCCTTGCTGGGGAAGTGGACCATGCGTGGTTCAGTGCTCATTCTCATGGTATTGTCTCTCTTGCCTTTAAGTAAACAGAAGCCTCCCAGGCATGGATGCCTGGCAGTGCAATGGGTAAACTGACCTTGGCCATGGACTCTTCATCTAGGAAGCAAAACTTGCAGGCCTGTGGGTATGGGCAGTGGTTAGGAGGAGTGCCATATGGTCCTCCAGGGACAGAAATCCCCTGGAGATCTGTTGAGGCCCACCTGCCCCAAGCAGGCCTGCAGCTCTGGGGTCTCTATCTGCAGGCCACCATGACCCACTTGCCTGGATGAGAAGTGACGGGCTTGAGGATGGCTTGTCCTGTGGGCAGAGCCCAAGCCCCTGAGGCTCCCCTTGTTGGAAGGCCTGGGTACCATGGTTTGCCCGTTTTCTGACTCCTCCCAGCTGAGTAGTCCACAGGGTTCCAGAGCTGCACCCAGTGGCCACTCTCAGAGGACATTGCTGGGCTCATGCCATCCTGTCTCCTTTCCCAGCATAAACATCAGAAGGGCCTTGGCTGCAAAAATGGATCAAGGTGCTGTGAAATTTCATCAAGTACTGTAGCAACAAGAAGGTGCCATGGACCTGAGGGCCCCTGGGGACCACTGGGAGCAGAGTTGGGATGGACAGTGCCAATCACTGTGGGTCTCAGATGCAACTGTCCTGCCATGAAAGGACACAGGTCATCTCAGCCCCCATGCCGGTACACCTATGGCAGTAGAAGATCCAAAGTCTCCACTGGGGCCAATCCCAGATGCAGGGCAGGCACAGTTCCTGGTGCCCTGTAGGGGGCAGTGTATGCACAGCAGAGCCTGCACTGAGCCTTTGGCCCTCCTCTCACTGTTGTGTCAGGAGGCCCAGGTCTAGGCAGATCTCTGGGGACACAATACAGAGCCCAGGGCTTCCCCTTCCTGCTGTCTCACCCTGCACTCCCCCACCCCACAGAGGGCCTGGGGAAGGTGTCACCAGAGCCGCCTCTAGTTCCACTGGAGAATTTACAAAGGGATTCCTGCCCAGGTGCTGGGAAGGTGTGGGCCCTGATCGTAGATGTGGATAAGAGGAGGGCCCAGAACCCAGGCAAATTCGAGGTATGACTCTGCGTGCAGCCCGAGGCAGCCCAACCTGCTCAGGTCTGGTAAGGGGCCTGAGGCTCCTTTGTGGTGGACAAGTAAAACCCAGGAGGAGTGGTCATTTGATTGGGGCCCCACCCAGCCCTCCCCTCTGCATCCTCCTCCAGGGTGTCATTTTAGTCTCCCCACACCCACCTGGGCCTGGACACCTGGACATTTGGTCAGGGCCACAGCCCTTATCCCTGTGGGCCCACCTGGCTGCTTGGCCCAGAACTGCCCAGTGCCATTGTGCTGGCTCCTGGATGGACAGAGACGGCCTGGAATGAGGTGGAAGTCCTGTGTGCTAGGGCCCTCAGCTGGCTCTGTCCTAAATGGACCTCCCCACACCTGACCCTGCTTGTGCGTTTCTTATGCTCGCCTGGCCCTGCCCTCACCTAGGCCTTCTCATACCTGGCCTGGCCTCATCTCACCCAGCCCCCACCTGGCCTGCTGGTTCCATTGGTCAGTCAGCTCTCCTGCTTCTGGGAATGAAGGCTGATCCAACTGTCCCAGTTGCTGGCTGCCATCCTCCCTGGCTGACATCAGGGAGCAAGAACCAACTGAGCGGCCAGCCCTGCCCTCCCCCAAGTTTTCAAGTGGAGGCTGCCCCTGCAGGCAGCTCCAATCCAAGAAGGATATCCATTGTCTTGATGGAACTGGGCCTCTCCTGCAGGGGCAGAAAAGAAGGCTGGTCAGGACTGACACCTGTTCTGTGGGGCCTGAGAAGCCAGTGAGGTGGAGCTGAGGCCTGATTGGGCCCCTCCTTCTGTGGGCAGGCAGGGGCAGTGCAAAAGGACATTGGCAGAGCCCCTGGCCTCAGGCTGACTGTAGTGGGCCCTCAGTGGCCTCCTCTGCTGGGCATTGGGGGTGGCATGAGCACTAAGGTGAGTGGGGAACCCATGACCCTTCCTGGATCAGGGGAACAAGCTTCCTTGAGGGGAACTCTCCCTGCCGACCAGAAGAACTAATGTGGCTTTGGGGTGCTTGTGTGGCAGTGAGGGTTTTGCTTGTCCTGAGGCTGGTCCCTCCCCCTCAGCCCTGCCTTGCAGGAGATAAAGGAACAGGCCAGGTTTTGCTCATATCAAGTCCAACAGAGATACATACCAAGTTCCAAGAGAGATACAGAGCCAAGTGAGGCCTCTGGGCTGGAGGGGTCACTGGGATGGAAGTGCAAGGGTCCTGGGGACATGGGGTCCTAGGAGAGACTTGGGCTCAAACCTAAAGCATAATTCTTCTAGGGCAGAAAAAAATGGATCCATGGTCTTTTATTTAAATTGAATAGTTGCTTTCCCAAGGGCACTGTGGAGTGAATGAAATGAATAGAAACACAAGGGGAGACAGTATTCGCAAAATACATAAAATGAAGATTGTAAATCTTAATAACAAGAAAGCAAATGTAGGCTTCCCATTCCCAACATGGGCCAAGGTTCAGGAGGGACCCTAATGAGGGCACACACAACTCACCTCCTCAATGCATGAACACAGGCTTAGTACCTAAACCACAATGGGGCTCCAGCTCACAGCTGTGATAATGGGGGACATAAAACCACTGTGAATGCCTGGTGCTGGGGAGAACATGAGGCGAGCACCACACTGGTCATTGCCAGGAACAGAGCACAGCGGCCCAGGCCCTCAGCAACACCCAGGGCCATTTCTCACAATGATAAACACACTTTCCACACGAACCCACAGCATACATGCACATTTACACAACCACTAGAACAGCTGAGTGCACAGAAAACACACATGTAAGATTCAGGGTTGTGTTCGCAGTCACTGGATGCAGGAATAGCCTACACGATGCTCAGTGGGAAGACAGATAAGGAACCAGTGTTACAGCTGAATCCTAGAATAGGATTCGGTGAGAGGCAGGACAGGATTTGGGCCCTGAGCTGACCTGGATGCATCTCAGGTGCATCCTGCTAAGAGGGGAAGCGTCCCTCAAAGGCTACACATGCTGTGAACCACTCACAGGACATCTACAAGAAGCCAAACCCTGGGACACAGAACAGAGCAGTGGTGGCCACGGGCTGGGGGAGTGTGGACAGCTGGCCACTGAGGGCTCGTGGGGAACACATAGGCAAGAGGAGCTGCTCCCTATGAGGCTGAACTGGTGCATGGGAGGCTGACTCCACAGGTTGAGACCCATGGGACTGCACCTCCCACAGTGGGATGCTCACTTGTGCAATCTGAACACCCACCTGGGGAAATGTAACTGCCTGGACTGCACCCTGAGAGGGGTGCAAGTCACTGCAGGCAGTGCTTCCCTGCACAGTGGACAACACGCCGGTGCCCTGATGACATCACTGCTTATGAGCAGAGTGTCATGGGCCTGTGTGTGGCTGTCAGGCTGTTAGGCACTGAGAGCCTCGGCAGCACAGGATGCACAGCCTCTGTCCTCTCTCTTCCAGACAATGCTCTTTATTTGAGGTGTTCATGGCATATTCAATGTACAACCCTGTGAGTATTCTGGGATAATGTTCCAAGGTCATATGCAGAGCATTCCATGCAGGGCACCCCTAGTCACAGAGATCCCCAGACAGGGTTGAGGGGGCCTCTTTAATCCACAAGTCAGAGACAGAGATGTAGAAGCCAGGCTCATGGCCTCCTTGGACCAAACCTCAAGTTCTGGGAGCACAACAGAAGCCTCCTGGGCTGGTCTTTGTTCTGGCCCAGGCAGGCCTTACTATGGTGCTTCTTCCTCATGTGTGCAGTGGGGCCCAGCAGAGAGCTCCAGAGGCCATCACAGGTGTGGAGTTTGAATTCCCACAACAGCCAACCCCTTTCTGACATCTGGGGTGGGGCTCATACCTCTTCTTAACCTTGTACAGCCTCAGCTCAGACATTGCAGTATTCTCTCTGGGAACTTTGAGAGCTGCTATGTTCTCCAGTTCTTGAGATCCTGACACCCAAGAGGCAGCAGTGGGGCATGGTGGTAACCCTCAGCCCTCCTAGGAGAGGTCACCCATGCCACATAAGATTATCCCAGCCAGGGATAATCTCTCTGATGTGTTTTGTGTTCCTATAGGACTTGGACTACAGCCAGGGCCTAAGCCACGTGGTGGCCCTGCTGCTGATGTGGCTGAGTGAAGAGGATACTTTTTGGGCCCTGGTCCAGCTCATGGAGGACAGCCAGCACACGATGCAAGTTGGGTGGATGGCTGTGGTGGGTGTGGTCCATGCAAGTCCATGGATGGGCATGCAGACAAGTGGGACACTGTCCCTTTCTGGCTGCTGTGTGTGTAGGGCAGTCTCCCTTAGGATGGTTCCTTAGAAGCCAGGGCCAGCAGAGGGCCCAGTACCAAGCCATACCCCTCACTTCCCATCACACAAAGGTCCTGTGCCTTGTCTTTGACAAATAACCCTTAGGTCCCTACTGGCCCTTCACATCTCTCTACCCAGACTCCCATCCACTGAGCCACACCCAGGAAACATGCAGAAGGCAGCATCCACTGTAGGGTGACCCCCTCCTCACCCTGAGTGTCCAAATGGATCTGAGGCACCCAGTGTGAGTGCAACCTGCCCTGGGCTGTCAGCTGTACCCCCCTTCCCCTGATGCTCCCCTGCACATTAGAGCCTCCCCTGACCCTCCGTGCTCAGAAAGACCCCGCCTCAAGCCATTGGCTTTCCAGCCTTCTTGGGAAGACACTCTGAAGTGGGGGGGGCTGATATTACTCAGATTTCTACAAACTGGGCTCCCCAAAACTGGAGCAATTCCAGCAACACCTGGGATATATCACGCATCACGTGCTCCCCTTCCTGGAGAAACACCTGGTAAGTAAAGCATCTCCTTTCTCCTCTTGAGGGCTCTGTGCTCATGGAGGGGAGGACAGAAAGGGGTCCTGACTCCTTCCTGGGCCTGGGGAGGCCACATCCTCACCAAGGCTTTCCCTGGTTACTGGGGTCCACAGTAACTTGAGTATTGGTTTGTTTTCCAGCACTTGGTCCCCAGAGTTTGTGTAGATTTAAGGGGATGCTGTCCCCAGGGAAGATTGGGTTAGGGGACCTGTGTCCCTTCAGAAACCTGCATGGCTGGGAGAGGGGATGCACTTGCTCCTGGGCTTCCTGCACCCAGGGGCTCTGCCACAGGGCTCAGATTAGAGGGAGTCAGGCCTGGGCCCTGGGCCCTGAGCCCTCTCTGCCTCTTCCTTAGGAGAAGGAGGGTGTGTGCCTCTGGGAAACCATTACACACTGGTTTTTCCAGTGTTTTCTGGATGGGGTAAGTGCCCTGGTAACCCCTTGCCCAGGGAAGCTCCTGCCCCAGTGCCTGGCTCTCCTGTCGTGGTGGCCTCTGACTCTGAGCTCCCCCAGCCCCAGCAGACACAGGAGGGAGCCTGCTGCGCAGACAAGGCAGACTCTGTCCTGTGGAGGGTAGTTCAATCTGAGGCTGAGCCTCAGGGCCAGCAAGGAGGGGACAGGTCCCACCAGGACCCATCCCGAGAGCCTGGCAAAGGTCAGAGCCCTACAATGAGAAGTAGGAGATCCATAAGGGCCTGGGTGGCACAGGCTGGTGTCAGCACAGCCCAAGGACTGAATCCTCCCCCAGGTCCCTGGGGTGTCTGGCATCTCCAATGTGGCTTCCAAAGTGTACAGAGCAGTTTGGGTGTCCCCAGAGTCCTGGACAGACCTTGGTGCTCTTTCTTTCTGGGCTTCTAGGCCACAGTTAGGATGCCCTATGACACCTCACACCCACCCACTGTGAGCCCTGCTGAGGCCCTGATGGGTGGGGTCCTCCAACACCTGCTCTCCCACAGGCACCATTCCCCCTGGCACTTAGGATGTGGGACATCTATATCCTTGAGGGTGAGCACGTGCTCACCACCATGGCATACATGGCCCTCAAAATCCATTGAAGTAAGTCCTCAGGGCCTACAGAGGCCAGGGTGCTGGGGATGAAGGAGCTGCCTGGCCATGGTGAGATGGGCTTAGGGGAGGGATGAGGAAGTTTCTGAGTCCTGAGTCCACTTGGGGAGGGCACTGAGAATCCCCCTGTTGCATCCCCCAACCCCAGAAACCCACAGTTCACAGGGAGAAGTGGCCATGGTCATCACCCAGGGAAAGTGGCCCCTGGTCAGTCCCCTCCTGTGCTTGGCTTGATACCCATGGTTGTCCAAGGGTGTCTACAGCCCATGTCTGCTACAGGGACAGGAATCGGAGCAGCCATAGTGGCTGCACCATCTCTATGGCCCCTCCCAGCCTGACTCCCACCCCCATGTCTAGAGCGCCTGTTGAAGATGTCCAGGGACCACCTCCGGGAGTTCCTGCAGGTGACCCTGAAGCAGGTCTGGTCATTGATTGATGATGTGGTCATCAGGCAGCTCCGGGCCTCCATGCATGAGCTGGGGAAGCTCCAGTGCCTCCTGCCTCCCAAAGGTGAGTCCAGCACAAGGCCTCATCTGATTCTCCCTTGTGGGTGTCCTTGCAAGTGCCCAGGCCCTGGCAGCCTCACCCAGGGCCTCACCTCTTCCTCATCCTCCTGTTCTCCCCTGGCTCAGCAGTTCTGCTTTAAGAAGCTTCTGACAGCATGGCCTGGTGGAGCCTCGGGCAGCTTCCCTGAATCTTCCTGTGAGGTGGGGGCAGAGTGACAGCTCTCCCCCAGGACTCTGGGGGCTGGGCTGTAGAGCTGTCCTCAGGACCCTGCTTGTGGCTCTGGCTCGTCGGCTTACCTCCTCTCTAGGGCGGAGTTTAGGCCCTGCCTTGAGCTTTCCCGCCCAGGTCTGGAGCAGGTGTGCCTATTCAGTGCTCCCAGGAGCCTGGAGCACATCTAGACACCCACTCCAGCAAGATGAGAAATGGCCCTGCCTGCCCAGGGGCCTCTCTCTGACTGACCCCACACAGGCTCCTGGCCCAATGACCGAAGCTGTCTGCACACAGGACCCTCATAGAAGGGGGTTGGGTGGGGCTCCCACCTGCATATGGGTGGGTGGGGCTTATACCTGCCTATGGGCAGGGCTAGAGGGAGGTGTGGCTGTGGGAGACCCTGCACAGTGAAGGCCAAAGCCAGCTGGGCACTGGATCCCCTTCAGCTAAGGACACCTGGAAGGCTCAGGTGCCATGAGCCTGTTTGCGGGGGCCGAGTGCACTCCTGTGAGCAGGGGGTGAGTGCAGAGGCAGGCAATGGAGGCCCCCGTGGCAGAACCCATGTGCAGCTGAGTGTGGGGTTTGCGGTCCTAGCCTCAGGCCAACAGAAGTCAGCAGGACCCAGAGCAGCACTGGCCTCTGGGCTCTGGTGGGGAGGGGTCCCTGTGCTCATCCCCTGCTGCTGCTGCCATCAAGGACATGAGCGCCTGGGTCCCCATGCAGAGCAGAGATGGGTTTGTCCCAGCTCTAGGGTCTGGCAGTGGGGGCCCAGGGGCAGGATGTTCAGGCACTGGGGAGGCCCCACTGTGCTTCCAGGTGCTGCCTCCCCTGGGTGCTCATGGGACAGAAGCAGTGACAGCCCAGTCTCACCTGGAAGGGGCCAGTGGCCCAGGGGCAGAAGACATGGGGCACCCCGCTACCTCTTTAGAAACCGCATTCCCTGTCCCTGAAGGCCTGGCCCAGGCTCCATGTCTGCCTCACAGCCCCAGCTCTCACCCCCATCACCTTAGGCTCATTTTCTTTCCAGCCACTTAGGAGGGACTCAGATGCTGGTAACTCAGCCAATGCACTGTTAGGGCACAGGAGGTCAGGTAGGGTAGGTGATGGGGGTTCTGAGTTGGTGCCAGCGGTCCCCAGAGATGAGTGAGGTGGGGAGGTCATGGCCATCCACCCTGTGGGACTGTGCAGTAGCCGGAGATGTCCTAGTGCTCCTATGGCCCAGGCTGCACACACCCTCCCCTCTGGGGCCATCAGCCTGGAAGAGTCCTCAGGGTCACATGGCGTGATGAGAACCCCAGGGGTCAGGTCGGGGCAGGCACCTTACTGCCAGATGGTAGCTGTGGGAAAGTAAACTGCATCTGTTCTTCCAGCAAAGCCAATGGAAGATTGCAGCCCAGCTCTGCAGGTGCCGCCCGACTCCCTGGAGCACGCTCCTCTGCCAATGTCACTCAAGCTCAAGACCATCATTGAGGAGAGCAAAGGGTGCCACCCTACTCCTTCAGCTCTGCAGGGGCCAGCTGGGGCTTCAGCTTCTGTCCCTGAGGAGACCATTCCTCTAGGATTTAATGTCCAGGCCGACTCAAAGGAAGACACCAAGGAGGGGAAAGGGAGTCATGGTGAGAGCAGCATCCAGTCCTGGGGCCTGGGCTCCTCTGCAGGGGCCTCAGGGTCAGGGGGCACTGCCCGCCTCTCTGGTCACCAGTGCTCCTGGCTGGATGAGCCAGGTCCCCTGTGGTGCTGGACCTCCCTGATCAAACTCAACATGACCTTCAAAGATGATGAGTCCTCCTCTGACAACGAGGACTACAGTGGCCTGGAGGAGCTGGAAGAGGAAGAAGAGGAAGAGGAAGACCGGGCTTCTGAGTCCCCTCCATCTCCCTGGCCAAAGTTGCTGCAGGATCTGTGATCCATCCTGCCCGAGACAATTTTTGAAGAAGATGAGGAGGGAGGCAGTGAAGAGGGCGCCTCCCCGGAGCGCTCGTCCCCAGCCCTGTCTGTGAAGTCCTCAGAGTCTTGCATGTTCCAGGCCTATTGGCCTCACAGAGCTTGCAGAGCAGGGGAGACCTGTCCTGATGGGGGGACCTTCCAAATCTCAGGCCACCTGTCAAAGGCACTGTGTTCTGGCCCCTGGAGCTGGGCCACCAGCAGGGTCTCAGGGCCCCTCCCCCACCTGCCTTGGAGACCCTAGAACCAGGGTCTATGCAGACTGTCCCAGCCCTGGGATCAGGGCTGAAGACGCCCTCCCTGCATGGCAGCCCCATGCACTCTGGGGACAGTCACAGGCTGGAGCGTGCAGGAGCCAGATCTGTGCTGGGAGACCAGGCCTGGGTACCCTCCCTGGCTCGAGGCCTCATTGCTGCCCACTCCACGGAGCAGCTGGATGTTTGGGGGTGCCTGGAGGGGAAGAAAAGCCCACTGTGTGTCCAGCTCAGACTGGCCAGCAGCCTGTCTTGTCTATACACGGCGGCCTCCATTATGGACAAGGCTTCTCTCTGGAGCTCATGTCTCCCTCCCTGAGAGACCTCATCCTAGCTCATCTTTGGCCAAGGAGCCAGTCAGCTGTCATAGTTGCTATGGGCACCCCCAGAGCAGGGAGATGATGTAGGACAGAGATTCAGACATCCACGGGCTGCCCATATACCCCTCCGCCTTGGTGAGGGAACCTGGGGCCTTCTGCCCCCTTGATGATTGTATATTAAATTGTTTCAGAATGTGTTCGGTCTGATTTTGTGACCCCTGGAACTGAGCTGCAACACAGGGTCCCTGAGTCCCTTGCAAGAGGCTGGAGGTGCCACAGCCTCCAGCTGCAGAGATCTGGCTCAGGATGCTGCCACCATTTCCTCAGATTAAGCTGTGCCCAGCACGGACCAGGGGAGGACTGGAGGAGCAGCAGTGGCTGGGTACATGTGGCCTTTGGGACAGTTCAGGAGTGTGGGCCCAGCCAAGGGACCAGGCCCATGATCACCTCTGTGCACTGTCCTGGGTGTGTGGGCACCAGGTTCCTGCTCTTCTTCCCTCTTTCTTTGCCTTCCATCCTCCCCTACCCCATCTCACAATCCAGCATCCCATGGCCTGAGCCCGCGAGAGGACCCCAGGGCACTTCTGACCACAGACCAGTGGGTGGAGGCAGCCCAGAATGTTCAGGTGGTTCTGGTGGCACGCCTGGGTGGCCAGATGCCCACATGCCCTCTTGCAGCTCACTCCTCCTGGGCTGCTGTCACAGTGGGTTCAGCTTCTCCAGTTCATGCTGTCACCTATGGGTCATTAGCATGGAGAATGTGTCCCCTGACATCGGGAGAAGAGACTCCTGGCTCAGAGGCACCTGACCTGGAGGGCTCCATAGGGAAGGATTCTCTGGAACCCTGCCTTGGGCAGCGATAGCATCTCAGTCCTCCAAAGTTTCCAGACTTGTAGTCCCTTCCTCAACCCACATGACCTCCAAAAGGTGACTAGGCCCTGTTCATCAGAAGCTACCTGGGTCATGCCAATGGGGCAGGTTAGGCCACAGCCATTTTCCCCTGGGTCTGGAAGGCCCAGGATTCTCTAGGTGTTGAGCCTGGTTTGCAATTGACCACTATGTACTCTGTTTTTGAATGAGCCATGGCTTGTGTCAGTGGCAGGACCCCAAGGGCTCAGAATTGCTGGTCCCAATAGGGTGCTTTTTGCAAAACATGCTGAGGCCAGAAGCTGATGAGATAGAGGGTGACAACTGGCTACCTTGTGCTGATTGCCTCATCTCTCCAGGCTGGGGAGGCCACAGCATGGGCCAGCCCTAAGCCTGCTCCCGTTCCCCAGTACTCAAGGCTGGTCCCCCTTGGAGCTTTTAGAACTTCTCTCAGAAATTTAAAAAATACAGAACTGGCATTGTGGTGTGTTGAGTTCCACCTCTGCCTATGATGCTGGCATCCCATATGATTTCTGGTTCAAATCCTGGCTGTTCCACTTCCAATCCAGCTCCCTGCTGATGCATCTGAGAGAGCAACAGAAGGTGACTCAATTACTTGGAACCCTGACACTGTCTCGGGAGACCTGGATGGTGTTCTTAGATCCTGGCTTCAGCCTGGCCCAGCCCTGAAGTAGGAGAGTGAACCAGAAGGAAGAAATGATGCATGGATTTCAAAATTGTTTTGCATCAAAATAAACTTACATTTTAATTCCAATTTTTCTAGAAACATTTTGAAGTACCCTCAGGTTGACTGGGAAGGGACAACAGGAAACTTTCTGGGGTGCTCTGTCGCTCCCCCTCTTCATGGAGGAACGACACAGGACCCTGCGCTGTTCTTTCGTCTGCTCGGCCCTTCCCGGGTTTGCTGCTGGTTCTTCCCGGGTTGGCTACTATCCCTTCCACCTCCGTGGAAGGGCAGTTCCCCCTGGCCACATTCCCCACTTCCGCAGGGGAGCGGCACACCGCCGGCCGGCTTTCTCGGGGGCTGCACGGGTTCCCTTAGATGTTCCCCATAGATGTTCCTGGTGCATGCCGTCTCTCTCCTCCTTTATAGTCCTCCTCCGCCAATCCCAACTCGGCTGCCCACACGCCGAGTACGCTGCTCTCCAATCAGGAGCAAGTCCTACAGTTTATTAGTTGAACTGGAGGCAGCTGTGCGGAAGCTGTTTACTTCTCTCCCAACGCCATGTTGTGGGAGAGCAGATGCATAGAATAAGTCTTAATTTCAGTAACTTAGTCCAGTCCGGATTGCTCCCCACAGATCCCCCTTTCTTTTTATTTTTTGGCGTTGATACGCGCCTGTCTTCGGTGTCCCGCGGCACACACTCTGCTCTACTTGCTAGAGTTGCCACAGGCTCTTACAAGTCCTATCAATCAGGAAAACCGAATCCGGGTCCTCTCTTCGCCATTGTGAGGAGGTTTTTAGGCGCTGATGCGTGCCTGTGTTCGGTGCCCTGCAGCGCATGCTCTGCTCTGCCTGCAGAGGAGACTTACAAGACCTATCAGGCAAACCGAATCCAAGCCTTCT